CCCTGCAATATGTTAACTTCTAAAAGTTAAAAAATTTTGTTAGCTGTTCCATTTTATTACCGGTAAGTTTATACTTAATTTTTATAAACATACCTTTCAGCGGTACATTGTGCGAGCTTTTAGCGGAGCAAATGAGCCGCGAGACCCCATCCACGATCTGCGCACGCCCCACCTCCGCATCGCCCGTTTTCTCTTTCTTCTTGCCCAGGCGTATAACTGCCAAGAAAGGGGACCGGTTAGGATCAGAATAGCACAAGTTGTATTTATTAAATCCTATCTAGGATTACAAATAACAAAATAGAAAGGAATGTGGTTAGCTTAACTTTTTAGTAGTAGGGCTCCTTGTGAGTTCGTCCAGGGAAGTACTCCCACCGTACTAATTTCTGCCGCCAAGCAGTAATGGGAGCATTATTGCGTTCCGGTTTTAAAGGGTAAGGGTATTGGTGAAATTATAGGCACATTGGACTTGTCAACTTACGTCTCAGGGCGATAGGCGCAATATTTGTCATTTAAAACTCTGAGTAGCCCTGCCACTGTTATGGGCAGGCGTATCACTTACCACCAGGCGCACGACTTGTTCGTCTCGTACCTGGTATCAAAACAAATGAGAGCTTACTTTTCTGCTTCTTCTCTTTGGTGAGATACGTGATGCAGAGGTGCTGACCCTGTCGCGTAACGTGCAGTGCGCGGAAGAACGCCTTCACCGTCACCTTGGTGTCCGCGCTCTCCGCCTGTCGCCCAGGAACCTAACATACAGAATAAAGCAAATAATTGTAATAACTGTGTAATGGTTAGCTCCCGTTGGCTGTATGAGCAATCAAACTTAAGAGCGTGGGATCATAGTTGACCCGATGATGTGTGTCACATTTATATATGACATCACATTTGCTCGTAAACAGTGTCATAACATGCCAGCAAAGTCGACTGTCAGATCCTAAATTACGCCCACGGGCTTTTTCATTAGATTAGCGCCATATGGCAGTAATGGATTTATTTTTTAATTTAATTGCACTATATTTCTCAGTGATAAGATTAAGCAAAAAGTTTTATGCTCGCAAAATCTGAATGTATTTCGCATAAGCATGAAGTATAGGAAAAAAAAACTAAACGTTTGCAATTTAACTATTCAAATTCTGCAGTATATTTAGTATTTTGAAATTATTTATTTCATACGTATGCATTTTTTTACAACATTTCAACTCGAGTCATTGAAGCCCTCAGCCTTCGACTTCGGGCTTCTGTACAGAATGTACTGTTTCTATATTATTATTGTCTCGGGTCTGGGTGTTTATAGTACCGTCGTTGTTTCCGGCTTCCATAGCACAAGTGTTTTAGTTACTTTTGGGATCAGAGCAACGTATGTGATGTTGTCTAATATCTAATACTGTATTTATTCGTCGGTGTGAGACGGTGACACTGACCAGCCAGTAGTCGAGCTGCAGCTCGAGTGGGTCGCTGCGCGCGAGCAGCGGCGGCGGCTGCAACTCGGGCGGCGGCAGCGGCGTGGCGGGCGGCGAGGGCCGCGCGGGGGGAGACCCGCCCTCCTCCAGCTCCAGGGACGACACCCCGCCGTCGCTGCAGCCCACGCGGACCTCCTACGGGAAACGAAATGTTCATACGGATACCTTCAAATATGCGCAGAGAGATACGTTAAGGCCCACTGAAACGACGGCACTGCAAGGGATTTTTTCGACCTCCATCTCTCTGATGGAAAGTGACGATGAGGTACGTGCTACATCAGCACGCACACCTATTCACTCTCGCCTTAAAAAGGTCAAAGTTAAAGCGTTCGGGGAACAAGTCCACAGGCAGGGAATTCGTGACGTGACAAGTAGAAATATACTTACATTAACGTAACGACATTAGAATTGAAATTTCAATAATAATGGTAGTAGCTACGAAAACAATGGTGCGGTAAGCTTAAGGATACCAAACCAGCAGCCTCCGGAGTGCCTCGGCAGCCATCGGGATGCTTCGGCAGGCTTTTACGATTAGTTAAAGACCAATGAAACAAGAGGACTGCTAACCGATATACCAGTCTGCGTAGTCGGGTATTTAGTACCTACTGTGTACACCAGATGTCGCGACGAGTAGCAAATAGCTATTTTTGCAACTAATTTGTATTACATTGACAAGCTGAAACTTAACGAAGTTACCCTAACTTCTAGTAATAATAAACAAATGAACTAGATGGCGCTTATTGCACAAATTATCACGGATTTAGTGCCGAGTATTTTTTATTTTGTTTAGAATTAGCTCCATCTACCCGTATTATAATAATACTCATTTATTTCAGATAATTACGCACACACTCACACACTCAACATAGCCCCGCACTAGGGAAACCCTGTTTCGCGGGTGCCATGGACACACACATAGACAACCACAAATTACACCCAAACTCACGAGAGAAATAATTGTAGGCCATACAACTATTTCTCCCGGCCCGGGAATCGAACCTGGGACCTCTACGTGGCAGTCCGGCATGGTATCCGTTCGCCTACGGAGGCAGTTAAAGTTGCATTGATAGAGTTGTTAGTAACATTTGGTATTTACAACTGTGTTTCGTTAATAGTGATAATATTAAAATTTATTGCCTACCTACATATAATTAGGTTCACCCAGAACTTCAAGATGGAACAATCATATTTCGACCCCTCCTACGTAAAGTATCGTATGTCGAAATTGCCAAGTTTACAAGGGAGCGTTTTCAAGTTCTGGATTCACTGAAATTAACTTAACACGCGAATTTAGCATTTCTCAGTTTCATTCGAGAACGAGTTTTGTCTGCCTTTTTCAGACTTACGATATGTAGTATGGAGATCAGCAGTCCCTTTGAGTTATTGCTCCAAGGTTTAACGTTAACAACTGATTTGAATAGACGCTAGGTACGAGCACGATATCGAGACTCTATGCGAAGTATGCGTAAGGACACCGCTGCGTATTTGCCGTTAATGTTCGCTCGCATATAGGGATGTCGAAGGATCCCTTGTCATGCCGTTCCGTCAATGGGCGTCAGGCCTTAGGGCCTTCATAGTGTGACGCGGACTGTCCGCGCGTGGACGAGCGGACTAAATCTGTCGCGGATGAATTGTCGTTCAATTCCTCGCGGATCGTGATCGGGCGTGGTACAGTTATGGACAAAAATTTGAAAGTAGTCATTGCCGCCTATTTTTACTAAGTAAAAAACGGCGCCGTGGTAAAGGTTTAATGTGCTCCATCGAGTATTTAACCAGAAATAGAGACGAAATTTCGTTTAATTTGTTTGAAAACTATTCTGCCATATCATTAATGTGACACTTCGCTCTGAATGGACAGCCTGAATTCGAACCAATTGACGAGTGTCGTCAATGGGTGTCGTCGATTGTTTCACTTCAATTCGACCAGTTCACTTGAGCTTTGCTATAAAAGACGGAAATTGCAAAATTACATATTTAATATTTAATTACCGATGAAAATTGATTCCGTTTGTTTTATAATTAGATGTTTTGCTGTTTTTCCCCACACCACCGAATGAAACAGCGCGCCATTTTTAGAGATATTATCTTTATTACCGCATCATCCGCGTCGCACATGAAGACCCTTAGAGTTTTGAAACGAAAGAGGCGGCATTTCTCGACCATGCCACAATCGCCGGTGTCAAGAACTCAGCATCCACTGATATAGATATCTTCAACTTACCGCGATAAAAGGTACAAAAGTCTGGCTTGCGTCTTCATCGCCAGACTTCTCTCGGTATGCCACCATTGCCTCACCAATAGGCACGTTGTTCAGAGGGCCGATACTGTTCAGATACCTGTAAACAAAGATGATTTAATAGTAGAGCTCCTTGAGAAAGAGTTCGTCCAGGGAAGTACTGCCACCTGCGGTTCGGTTTCGAAGGGCAAGGGTGCTGGTGAAATTACAGGCACATGGGACTTGTCAACTGTTTCAGAGTGGCGGGCACAGTGGCAGTGCTCATCTTTGCGATTAAAAGCTCTAGGTGGCACTACAACTGGTTATGGAATAGGCGTGTCGCTTACAACCAGGCGCACGACTTGTTCGTCCAGTCAATTGGTATTATATAAAAAAAATGTTTTAAGTTATTGTTATTTGTATTAACAATATAGTCCTAGGAGGTTGTTAGTATTTTACAAATAATAATAACGCACACACTCAACCAACTCCGCACTAGGGAAACCCTGGTGTCGCGGGTGCCTTGGACACATAGACAACCACAAATTACACCCAAACTCACTAGAGAAATACATGTAGGCCATACAAATATTTCTCGGATCGAACCTGGGACCTCTGCGTCGCAGTTCGGCATGGTAACCGTTCGGTCACACATGCAGTTATAACCCTATATAGAGGTGTATGAACAATATGAACTTTTTTACATACACTCATGAATAATATTTGAAAATTATATATGTCATCGTACGTAGGTTCAAAAGATTTGACGTTTTATGCTTTACGTATGTAAAGCCAAAGCTAAAGTTTTAATGCTCAAAATACATTTTATTCTTCATATAAGACTTACTTGTGAGATACTTAACACATTGCTTTGACCTACCAAGGTCAATGACACTTTGTAAATATTATAGGAATAAACTATACATACAATAAACTTATACTTCCTCGAAAAAGTGATGAAAACCATTGTACGCTACACGGGCGACAAAGCAATTACAAACGTTCGGGCCATTACAGTTTGAATCTCGCCCTGTTCGTAATTACCTACTTACCGCCCTTGTGACACAGTGTACTAAAAAGACATTACCTGGCGATGCGGCTGGACATGTCAGCTACATCCTGCAAGCAGCAATCGGGCGCTCGCTCGCACAGTGCCGGCCACGCGTCGCCGCCGAACAGCATCGCGTACCCGCCGTCGCACGCGGCGAGGTGCCGCGCCACGGCGCTCGGACCTGCGCAAGAGTGGCCCACATTGACTTCTTCATACTTGATGGAGATACCACGGTTGAAAGTGCTTAATAACTAGCTAAGTAAGTAATAAGTGCTTAATAACTAGGACTCATAAGAGATTATGGGACACATAACAGTTGGGACTTAAATGAGATTGCAGGACACATAATCATTGGGACTAAAAAGAGATTGTAGGATTCATAATAACAGGGAATGAAATGAGATTGTAGGACACATAATCATTTGGGCTCAAAAGAGATTGTGGGACACATAATAGTTGGGACTTAAATGAGATTGTAGGATACATAATCATTGGGACTAAAAAGAGATTGTAGGACACGTAATAACACGGAAGGGAAGAGATTTTACAACACATTATTATGTGTCGTCATATCTCTTTTCATTTCCAGGCATTACTAGGAATGAAGTTCGATAATAAGATATGATCTTGGAGCGTTAGTTATAAGTAGGATGAACTAAATATTCTTGAACTAAATGATTCTTGTAAAATATAAATGTTTTAGTTATAATCTACTAAGTAGGTTTGGATGTAAACCGTGGACGATCATAAATAATGTCAGTTGTCACCTGTCTAAGTACGTCGTAAGTAAATAAGTAAATCAGATTACACCTGTTTACGTAGTTAAATAAGTAAACTAGGTTGGTAACATTAACACATATATTTATTATTGTTACAATACGTATAGTAACTGAGATTCAAAAGACTTAAAGAATCTCTAAATGTGAACACGGATTAAAATTCTTAACCCGCATCGGGTCAAGCTAGCGGACTAAGGCCTAAACACTCTTTTTAGAGAACACGTGCGTACACTGTGGGACAGTGTGTCGTATAATGATCCAAAAATGATATAATTTACGAGTATGTATGACAATATAAGCACGAAATGTTTCCTCGTGTATGGTTGTACATTTTTATACATTGTATAGAGAATTCTAACTCTTACCCAAACCGCACATGTTTAAATACGATTGTGTTGTATACCTTGATTTTTTTTTGTTCTCCTCGAGATGTAATACGTTTATGTATATATCTATAAATAAAATATTATTACTATTATACTGGAATTTACCATAAGGTATGATGTAGAAGCGGATGGGCAGCGCGTCGTGCGGCCTGCGCGCAGCCAGCTCGGTGTACGCGCGCAGGGCGGCCGCTGCTGCGCTGTCGCCGCCCACCACCACCACGCGCACGCTAGACCGGCGGGAACTCCTGCGCACATTGCATTTTGCGTTCTGTACTTACTGTCACTTTTTTAACGCTTTGCACACGAGAGGCTTCAGTATCCTACATACGCCTTAGGATTTCCATTGGGGTAGGCAAAGATCACGTAACGAATATGTACAGTAAGTGTCAAGATCACGCAAAAAGGCGGTAGATAGTCCTGCCTATCCCAATGAGATAGATAAATATTTATACACGTTATTTCTCACAGACAAGAACAAAAACAGTACACAAACAACTTAGAACTAATGCGGCAAAAGCACCATTATCGAAGAGCGATCTCCTCTAGGTAACCTTTGAGGTAGAGCAAAGCTATACAGAACGAATCTCTCACTAGATGTCACTAGCTGCGCAAAATTCCGGAAAAATCCAGTACAAAGATCTTTAACAAAAATACATAGGCGAATTTCGACAACTCAATAACTTGACTCCTAGCTCAGTTGGTAGGAGCAACACTACGGTGCAGTACGGCGTGGGTTCAAGTCCCATCGGGTCGAAGAAAATTGTTCTGTGTGTTCGATCTTTGTATTAATTAATCATAATCAGTGAGTTATTTCACAAAAAAAATTTAATAGTAAATTGTCGCCTGACTTTCTCAAACTCGTATCCTAAAACACAAAGTTACTGAAATGCAAAAAATGGATTGTATGTACAAATATTGCAGGCTGATTTTACATCATATTTCTTTCATATTCACACACTGGCTTTTACCTATTCTTAAAGTAATGCATCCAAATTAACACCCTGGATAAGAAATTTGAAATACATAGAAAGTTTTGTCGTCTCCTGAATAATCACTCTTTATAAGATGCGAGTTTGAGAAAGTAAGGCATCGAAATGTGACTAACTGTTTAGCGGTCTTAGAATACAGCGCAGTGAGCAGAGGCCTTGCGTCAGGCGCGTGAGGCGATGGTACGACGATGCAAGGCACTCCGATTGCGTGGAACGCGCTTGCTGCGGCACCTGCGGGCGCGATCGCAATGCACTCCGGCACCGGGCCTTCCTCGCCGAGAAGCCGAGTCACTTGCTCCATTATTGTACGACGGGGCTGAAAAATGGACAGGTTCTTTATTAATAAAGTCGTAACAATTTAAGAGGCCCAATTTGACAAATAAATAAGCATGTAACTTTCAATGCAATCAACAAACAATTATTAACTTATTGGGTTTAACAAAAAAAAATACATTAATTTTAGTGAAGCATTTAGAACAAATTTCAAGTATTATTTTCAGACGAATTTCAAAATACAATGGAATTTTCAGTTAGTCCGAAACGTCTTAAAAACAGTTACGTCCTGAGCCTTATTTTTTAAATAACATTGTTGTAACTAATGAAACGCCAAACCTTACTGAGTCTATTCAATTTCACTTAAAAATATGATCGAATATTATACATGCAGTTGATACTATGTTAACTGATGATTTTGGCTCATCTTCCGATGAAAGTGACTAAAAATTGAAACTTTTTTAACTTTTTTTGTTATAATTCAGAAGTTTATAATTTAACTACAGGTTGTCCTCGTGAACTCTGTTAATGTAACTACACTTAAGAACCAGGTTCTCTACAAAGTAGTTGGTAAAATAACCTCATGTTTTGTCTTTGTCCATAGGATGATACAACCGATCATCGTCGCGTGAGTGCGTTCCTGGCAATCTTGATATAAACAGTGTATCTTTCAACCCGAACACTGGCAAAATTATCCTCAGTGGACCAGAAGCCAAAACAACCAAAAAAAAACCACCAGTTTGTCATTTAAAATACTTACTTATTATTTACATATAAACTCTATATTGCTTAAGTAAATGTTAATTGTTCTATCTAGAACTGAAAACCATTGACCCGAAAAATAATCCAAACTACCACAAAGTCATAAAATTTCGAATCGATTTCTCGTGAGAATCGTCTAACATGGTTACCGATACGTTTAGTCCACATCCCTATTTACGTCGCATTGACAAGTGTCAAAACGTGCCTCTTATTTTGTGACGACTATAAAGGGAAGTGAAGCCCATCATCATGGGTAAGGGTGCTAGTGAAATTACAGGCACAAGAGTAGTGGCGCAGTGGCAGTTCTCCTAACATTTTCGCGATTTAAAGTTTTTAGTGGCACTGCAACTGCTATGATCAAGCGCAACCTCCAGGCGCAAGTCTTGTTCCGTATCATAAAAAATAAAAAAAATAAAAAAGGCCTCTCCCAATGTGCGCCAATTTACCCGGTCCTCCGCTTATCCATCAGGCTAGAGAGAGAGATATGACAAGCCCACAGCTTGCTTATTTATTTATTTATTTATCTACCAGCTATTTCGATGACCTCGGTTTTCTGTCGCTTAACCTCATTTCGAATCGTATCCTTCAGAGACCGACTAAGATAGAGTCACAAGAATTGGAGAGAATGTAGGTTATATTTTTCTGTATCCAATGGAGCACTAAACATTTTTGACTTAACTTCATTTATGCCATTCTTGCATGAGGGGTGCGATATATGTATATACATACCTCAAGTGCAGTCGGACTCTGAGCCGGCAACTCGTGTGCCGACAGCGGTCTCTCTGCACCAATCACGAGTGAGTTTTTCTTACGACCAATGGCACCGGGAGTCAAGTTGCCGCCACTGGTCGCGCTACGGAATAGCCGCGACCGTTTATCCTCCTAAACATTTTTTACCCATTAGTGCACTATTTTTCATTAATATGTACTAACTATTGTACAGTGAAAAGTAACCTTATATTAACCGATTACAGTTAAAACAAATTCTTAAGACGGCCCAAAATACTAACACACACAACTATATATCTCAGTTGATACAATTAAAATTATTTACATAAGCTTTGAATTTGTCCCCTCCAAAATTTTATTGAAAAATCGTTACTTGTTATGATCCTATAACACAAGCTTCTACTTTGTTTAGGTACTGGACTCGTGCAAACATAATGTAAATAAAATATATTATATTCTTTATATTTTGATTCACATACTAATTGGACGAGAGCGAAAAGGGTCATTTCATAGCAATAGTACGACGTCTTCTAGACAGCACTTTTATGAATAAAGAACAAAATAGAGCCAACTAATTACGTGACACGGACCACGATAGTAAAGTCTATTATTAATTGCTACACTCTTGTCAATACGATATGGCACGCCGTATTATTAGTAGTACAGACATGTTCCACCAGATGTCGCCACTAACACTGTGATAATTAACAGATTTCGTTACACGGGCTGAATTTTGTTGACTCTAGTACATTTTTTTATTCGTTACAAATTTATTATTATATCATACAAATTGACGCGAGCTAAAGTACATGGCGTGCTGCAAAAAATATACGTTGTCCTGAAAAATTAATTCCTAATACTATACTATAACAATGATTAAGTCATGAGGAAGATTATATAACGCATTCAACTTTTTCATCATTCTGCCAAAGTAGAAGGCGGTTTCACAAGAAAAAGAAGTCTGAAGAGTGACCGCTATGCTAGTTTAAATTAAGAATGTGTTCTAAATTGATGGCATAAGCTTAAGCACAAGCATAAGCATGCCCAATTGCTACCATTTCACGTATTAATTTTACCCAGGACCATAATTATTATTATGAATCCCAACCTTCCAGTTTAGCAATATTCTAGTAAGTCTTTACCTTCTCAAACACCTTAGTATCATTAGGCGGTGAGCTTGACACAGAAGCTCCCGAGACAGGCGGGTCTGCTGTGATGTCGCCGTCACTGTTACCCTCGCTACCTCGCTCGTCACCTGCCGAGCTTCGGATGGCTTCTGACTCTGTGCATTAGGTAAGGTTGCGGTTCAAGATAGGGTCCTTGGGGAACGCTTGTGTTGAAATACTGTTGTGGCAAGTATTTTTAAACGTTTCTTAAACTTTTTATGGATTTTATTAACATAATATATGAAAGGTTACAAAAGGTTCCATGTTAAAGCAAAATTTGAAAAAGATTCCAAGAAATCTAAGAACACAAATTGTTTATATGTTGTTGGGAAAATTCTTGCCACCACAAAAGAAAATACATAAAAACATCTGAAACATACTGTGATATTTGGAAATCAGATCGTGAGGTTGAAGATTCAACCAAATCAATTTTCAAGTCAGTTTCGTAATTCAAGAACACAGCATGCAGTCATGCTTTCAATATTACATAAAGGTGCCCATTTATTAGTGAATATGTAGACTGACAAAGAGAAACAGTATTGCAACTATATCGATAAGCTTTGTCCAACTCTATCGACCAATATGTCGGACAGTGAAAAGGTCCCGTTAAGTAGTTGCGTATTATAAAAGTCGCAACAAAAATAGAGTATAGAATTATTTTAGATGATAGAAAAGCTAATGAGAGTACTGAAGAAACAAAACATAACAAGACATACAAAAGCTTACTAATAGTGGTATTAAAAACACTGGTCAAGATCATGAAGAAATACCTATTGACAAGATAACATAGAATATTGGAAGTTTTTAAAATTTCTTCATGGTTTTAACAGTATCAATGGTTAATGATTGTTGTATTGCCATTCAAAACGATATATCAATTCACAATAATAGTTTATTGCCATGACGTCATCTTGTTCTCCAGTCATCAGCCGGAATATGCAGCATGTTGGGTAGTTGGAAATTTGGAAGCAAACCTTTGATAATGTTGTTTGGTGTCGCAAACAGGGCAGGTTTAGGTCGAAGAAACCTTTATATTTGAAATAAATTTACTTCTCATACGAATCAACTGGTCCGCGATAAGATTTAGTACGGCACAATATTTTTTTCATCGAATTTCAAGTTTTTTCCTATCATAACTTTATCAATTTGCGGTAACAAACACCTTACAAGACGTAAACGAGTCTTGTATATTACAAGATGTTAGAACTTGGATTCCTCGACACCACGGCACGACGTAGAATAGTTTCGACCAGCGTGTCCTAATTTTTTCGAGTCTTGAATTTATTTATTAGTTCTGCGAGAAATGGCGACCCTCAGGGATGTACTCACTGTCCAGAGCTTCGCGGGCAATAGATTTGGACACGCGGTTATAGAATCTTCGACAGCTACGTCATCAGTTCTCCAAATTTCTTATCCTACACTACGGTGTTTTAAGAGCCTTTATTAGCACGCGGGATACTCTGAAGTATATGTGTGCAGGAGCAAATAATAAAAGGTCAAAGTCCTTAGAAGAAAAAAGGCAATATAACAACCATTGTGAGATCCTATTTCGTCCAATATTCATACCTGTAAGCGCCAAGACGTGCAAGGGGCGATCTCTCGCGGAGCTCAGCTCGGTGGCGCTGGCGAGGCTGGCGTGCCGCGTCACTGCGCATGCCCAATTGCCCACACGCTATACACATGCCTGCTTCGTGGATTACGACCTTTTTCTTTATACCGGGGCCTCGTTTTTCGAGAATATTTAATGGTTTCCGAAATCTTTTTTACTCTACTAATCTTTTCAGGTTCACCTCCCTGGTCCACAAGGATACACTATGGGTAGTTCATTTTCTCATGGTCATCTTTATAAATTTACGAATGGTAACTGTCTGCCACTTTGCTGTTTTGAAACGTTCTTATAACAGCCAGTTTTCTTAGAAAAAGAGCTATGTCAACTACGTCTTTGATAAATTTTTATCGGATTGTATAATTCTGACAAATTATCAAATTTATAGTTTTTTACGTATTTCATCTGATACTGTGCAAGTCGTTTTGAAAATGCGTCCATCTGACACAAGATGCCACATTGTGACCCACCAATCAAAAACAAAAAATAACATTTGACTCTAAACAAAAAGTCAGTGTGAATTACGATCAACAATTTCATGAACTTGTGAACACCAAATAGGTGAAAGAACGAACGGGTTTAACGCCCAATTTTCAAACTGTTAAAATCGCGACGTAGGACATACAATTTTGAAACGAACCATGTAAATAACTTTGTCCACTAGTGCTGAAGGGGACGATGTATCCATTTGTGTAATTTTCTGGCATAATGCTTTATTTATTTTTCATCATACTTGCTAGTAAGTATAACATGCAGTAAATTTAGGCGATATTTTTATCATGCGGCCCTAGGCAGGTAATGGTTTCTATTATTTCTACACGATCTGCCGACATGGCGTGACCTCGAAAACCTTTTGATTGTATTTACTAAAACTAATATAAATACCAACCATGGTAGTTAAATGGTTTGGCCTGCGCTTGGTTTGCGAAAGAAAAGCGAAATTTAATTTTAGCGGTTCGGTTCCTAAGGAAACCTGCACACGTCTGCAAAGCTATTTAATGATGTGTGTAAAGTTCCCAATCGGACGCGCGTTGAAACCAAGCCCTTTCATTGTGAAAGGAGACCTATGCCCAGTAATGGGACTATATAAAGGTGAACTATGATTATTTTACATAAATACAGTCGGCTTTATTACATTTATCATTTATATAAGATTCACAGCTTACGTAAATTTATTTCTATTTTGTTTTATTCGTAAGTAAAGTAAAAGCAAAAATATGTTTAAAGCGTGAAACACACAGAGAGCGGGTGCGGGTCGGGACCGCGGCGGGTCGAATTCCGTGTATTCATAAGGACAACATGCACCCGCACCCGCTTTCTGTGTGTTGAAACACACTTACATATATCGCTTTAATGTAAGTTTTTTTTGAGTAATTTAAAATTTTGTTCCAAGTTTATTTTTCCCATCGCGTTCGCGAAAACCTAATTTTCGCCATTGTTACACATAGGAAATGAACGTATTTTTTCGAATCTAAATCAACTGTGATCATGGGACCCATTAACCATTTAAACCATTTATTTACCACACACAATAATAGGAAACAGAACATATAACAATATTGTCGGAACAACAACAGTGCGTGGAAGGAACTGGCTTAGTTTAATCCTTGTGTGAGCCACGTGGTACTGATGTTTAACCTGGCCTTGTTGACACATTGTTTTTGTAACATAAACCAATACAATCACACCACCGACACGATAAACATCGAAAATTAATAATTCCATCTGTTGAAATTATTCCAATAACATTTAATAAATTGATAAAATAAATTACATGACTATGGCTACGTACGACTAATTTACATTTAACGCGACTTAGATCCGAAAAAATAGACTCATTTCCTATCTATTTTTCTTTTTTTTTTTAACTTCCTCGCAAGAGTGATGAAAAACATTGTATGCCACACTGGCGGAACAGCAATTACAAATGTTTGGTCCATTAAAGCCCTCGCCGTACATAATTTATTGTACTATTAAAATAGTAGCTTTTCAAACAACCGTTTAGTCGTTAATCCACGTCGCACACATATGCAACTACACTATGTACACAGCAAAAACAAAAACACAAAAAAAAAATTATAACATGTATGTTATATAATGTAGGCATTGTCGTTATAGTGTATGTACTTAGATAAGTATGCAAAACAAAATTTAAGCAAGATGCTCTTTGTAATGCGATGTCAAGACTTATATGCATCATTCGAGTTAAGGACTTGGAAATGAATTTTATGAAAGCAAGGGACAAATATGGCGGAAATTCCGCGACTGAATAAAGCGCGCGCAATTTTGTTCAGCCGTAACAAGAATGCGTAAAAGTTACAGTTTGTAATTAATAATAGTTAGACTAACACTACCTTTTGGCTTAACGCTGCCTTTCCACCAGAGATATGCGAGGAAGCGAGGGGGTGCGAGGATATATAGCGACGCTGTGAAACGGTGTGATGTTTTCCACCAAAGCTGTGCGAGGATGCGTTACGAAGTCTTTTCAACTATGCGCCGGCGGGGTACGGTGTGATGGGGTGAGCGGTGGCGATATGTCAGTTAGTGTCACACTTTCAGTAGCTGTAGTTTCCTACACCGTTGCACACATTCCTCGCCCGCATCCCTCGCACACATTTCTCGCTATTAAGTATGTACAAATACTTAATAACTCCGCTAACACTTTTTCACCGGAGCTGCGCTAAGCGAGGCTAGGAAAATGAAGTAATCCTATTGGTGGATTTTTCCTCGCTCACTGCAACGTTACGTCCCACATCTCTGGTGGAAAGGCAGCCTAAGTCTGTGTCCTTTATAAAATAAATAACTTCGATGACCCGACGGTTTGCACAATGGGCACTGGGTAAGGAGGGCTCGAACTTTTCAAGCTTTTTTCATGTTTAAATTATGTGCGCATTTGACCTCCATTTCAACTGATGAATGGTGACAATGAGATCAACGTTGGAGCACGCACTAGCGATGGGCGATTGTTACTAAAAATATTGAATAAATCGATAGTTGTACTATCCTATAAACGATTTTCGATTTAGTCGTCTTTACCGAAAAATAATCGAATATAGTTATGAATTTAGTAATTACTAATTAAACTTTCGGTGTCTAAAAAAAGGGTCCTCCATATACTATGATACGAAATATTTAAAAAAGTATCCTATTATTTATTTAGTACCAATCGATCCTATTACTAATTTAATAACAATCTAAACTCTTTCTAAACTATTTCCATTCACAATCGATATTTGATCAACAATCAAAAAGTGAATTCATAACTAATTGGTATCTACAATCGAATTATTTCGATTATGCTTATAATCGAATAATTCGATTATTTTTAGTAATTATCGCCCGTCGCTAGCATGCACACCTATAATTATAACGCTTCAACGTTTCACTCTCGCCTTGAAAAGTCCTAAGTTATAGCGTCAGGGAACAAATTGGTCCTGGTATGGATGTTCTGGGTAGTGTTTCAAAGTTAATTTCGTTGTTCTGTTACTAATGTACAGAAACTATCCTAATTATAGACTTGGCACTAAAAAAAGCGCACAATCAACTGCATTAGTGCGCATAATTTCAAAATTTCAACCGCGCTATTTTGCCAGATTTGTCATCATATATATACACTCTGTCAAATCATGTAAAAGCTGATAAGTTTCTATTCCCTGAAATGGTAACTTAATTCTATATTCAATTTCCATATAAACTATACGTGTTGTGAATAGAAAAATTTAATTCTTTAAAATATCTCTAACATTGCGAGGTTTCAATTTTAACTAGTCAGACATTGTGTGAAAGGACTTCATGAAATTCCCCATTGAAATACAATTATTTACTAATCATTGTATTTATTTACGTGATACTCCAGGTGCTATTATACTGTATCCTAAATGAAGTGAACTATTTATGAAAAATTGGCTCTTAGTCTATAAAAAATATGAAACATATTCAAAATCAAAATAAAAAGTAACTTTTATCCATAGGTAAGCAAATTACAGTTGAAATTGCAACAATGATTCAATACTTTTACTCATTTATAAGGCAGATTTCCTTGAGAAGAGCGAGCAAGAACCTTTAGGGTTTGTAAATAAACATTTGTACACATTTACAATATTTATTTCAAACATCATAGATCGAGACTACCTGCAAGAGCTAAACGGGTCACACGTTGTCATCCAAGTACGCAAAACCTAACTAACTAAAAATAAACCTGTAGTATAAAGTTTTTGCTTCATTATAGTTTTAAGCCCCGTAAATGACAAATTTTGAATATCAACGGAACTCTTATTATAGAAGCGTATTCATTGCCCCTTAAATGAATCTGTGACTATATTTATTTGTCATTTTTCAGGAACAACCTAAAAGCGCTAAACGGATTAAAGTATAATGTTCTATATCAATCAAATATTTATCAATTTTTGATTTAAATCTAAATTCGTTAAAAATATGCATTTTATAGAAAATTTATCATCGGTTTGATTTGTGTCGAATCGATAGGAGTAAAATGGTAACCCTAGTGGGAATGACTGGATTCGAGTATTCGGAAAGAGGAAACCTTTTCTTTTGGTAAAAATATACATATTTACGAGACTGAAGGGAGTATCTATCTGATTATAGTTTAAGTGAATTCTATGTCTATGGTCTGTTATAAGAAATGTGAGATAATATAATAATATTCTAATGGACGATAGAATAATCATGGACTAAAAGCCAACTCCTCATTTCACAAAGCATAGGTCAAGCTTTAACTACTTACCGTTAGAATGCCTGTGATGTTCCTGATTGGCAAGGCTCCGTGAGCTGCTGAAGAAAGGCCGGAGCGAAGGTTTCGGAGTGGACCCAATGCTAATCGTGTCCATTTGATCAGGTCCTGAGTCCTCACCTTCGCCGCAGGATAGGGATTCCAACTCCTGCAAGGTTAATCAACGTTTTCATTGGTAACTTACTTTGGTTCGACGACAGCTGTAAACCGTTGTTGATAAAACTAACCTACTAACTAACCTTTGCGACGCATGTATGTACATTAGGTATATCTGTCAAAACTTATCCTCAATATTTCAAAACACGTGGTGAAATTAATCAAAGCCAAACTAGAACAAAAAATATGAGTCTTTTGCACCAACATCGTTGCCATAAAGTAATTTATAAGAAAAACTGTTTCAACATGTGTATAATATTTTCAACAATTTCCCAAATGAAATTAAATTGTTACAAGGACATACTTTTAAATTACAATTGACAAAATGGCTCTTGACGCATTGCTTCTATAGTAATAAAGAATACTTAGGATTTGCAAATACAAAATTACAATAATTTGAAATGCAATTAACAATAGACATCGAATATGAAATTAATATTTGCACATCTGCTTGCATGTTGAATACAATGTACCTAATTTTACTTAAGACCTTTATCATTACTGTATTCTGGCAAATAAACGTGTTCTATTCTATTCTAAGATTGACAAACAAGCGGCACAGATTTGAGCATCTTGATGTTCGGTCAATAGGTCTCTTGATGTTCTATCTCTCCCTCGCACTGCATATTTGGGAGTGTGTGCGAGCAAGACACAAACGGCAGTCACGAACGCTTCTTCGCGGCCAGAATAAGTTCGTAAAAAAAATAGCGCCACGACACGGGTTTTTTTTTTAAACCGGTTGTGGCTAAAGCTGAGTAATTCCCGCTTATTCATATAAATTATTTTAATTTTTTTTTTCTTTTTTTTTGTCAGTATTTTTTTGTTTAGTGCGTGTCTGTGTTTGTACAATAAACAGTTTTCTTGTTTATTTATTTCTTTCAAATGTACTTCACGGCATATAATTGTGATACCAAAATTATAGTTCGAAGATATTTGGGTCACATGACGTCGCCTTACGTTCTCAAACTCGTACATTTTAATGCACAAAGTTACATAAATGCAAATAATCTCAGTACAGAGTACTAAAAAAACCGACCTCAAAAGTACGTGGAATTACGTCTGTTTGCTAAGTTTTATTGAAATATCCCCTAGTTCGCCACTATACAGGACTTGACACTGGAGATAATAAAAATCGGTTCTCAATACTCAAAGTATATTGAGAGAAAAAATCTCGGAGAAATAGCAAAATCAACCATTAAAGTAATTGTTCCTAAATTAATGTTAGGCGCTATTTATGAAAATGAATCATCATGCGTGAACAGCCACCCTTCGAGGTGGATGATTTTCTTCAAAATGAAATGGGACCACAATGGAAGTACCCCTTTTCCAACAAAAAAGAATCATAAAAATCGGTTCACAAATACCGGAGTTATCGCGTAACATACATACAAAAAAAAGAACATACAGTCGAATTGAAAACCTCCTCCTTTTTTAAAGTCGGTTAATAATGGATTGTATATACAAATTTTGCAGGATGATTTCACATCACATTTCCTTCATATTCACACACTGGCTTTTACCTATTCTTGAAGTAATGCATTCAAATTAACACCCTTGATAAGAAATTTGAAATAAATAGGACGTTTTGCCATGTCCTAAATAATCGCTCTTTTTAAGATACGGGCTTGAGAAAGTAAGGCATGGATGAGCCGCATAGAAAGTCAACAACACTGTCACCTAAACATAAACAGCGGTGTAATGACTGTTATCGGAGTAGATAGAGCTATTTTTGCTAATTGCGACATGCAGTCATAATATACGTATGCCTTCTTTAACAAATCCGCATCTTCAGTATTACTAAAAAATTATATTTTTTTTATTTATTACAAAAGTGCATTTATAACATGGATGTTATAAAAGCACTACTGAGTTCTGACGAATGATCACACGGCTTTATTAGGTATAATGTATGGGTACGTAAAATATTTTTTATGATAATTGTAACGTTTTTATTAAAAAAAAAGACCACAAAACTTCGCGGAATTACATACATTTGCCAAGTTTTATCGAAATCGGTTACAGGAAAGTGCGCGAAACCGGATTCATCCCCTGGTTTGCCACTACCCTTAGAGCTGAAATATTTTCTTAAAATGGAAATGGGACCAATACAGAGGTACCTTCTGAAATCCAGACCAATCGTATCCACATAAATAGGTAAGGAACTTCAAACTTTATATGACAAATGCAGTATTTTTCTAATAACACTCTATGGCCATATAGAGTATTACTGAATATAGATAGTGCTAAATTTTAATGCGACACTTTCATTATAATAAACACTGAGCGTTTACTTGATCGTAGGTATAATGGCAGGTTTCCACCGGCGAGACGTGACGAGACGAGAATAGGAATCTCGCCAGCCTATTTCCACCAAAAATCGCCATTGATAGGTCGCGCGAGCGAAAATGCAAAGTCAGAAGATTCGGTGCCGTTCAGTCCATCTAGCGATAAATACGTGGCAGAAGTAACAGTCCCGTAAATTATGACTATAAATATGTTAACGGAAGAAGAATTAGATGAAACATCTTTTATTAAATCACAATTCGTAAGTAACCCACAATCTCGCGATTCACGAGTTCGTGTGAACCACGATCACGCGAGCTCGCGCAAGAAATCGTGTTTCCGTTAAAGAGTATAATACTATTATGTAGACAGCAATACGGCTCAATATTACATAAAAAAATATTGCAATTCTCGTCTCGCCATTGTCAATCCAGATCACTTCCACCGAAGATGGGCTAGGAGTGAATTAAAATTTTGTCATACAAGTTTCTATCCTCGTCTCACCTCGCCGGTGGAAAACCACCTTTATATTTATCTGGGTCTATTCAGACCTTTCATATAAATCACAAAATTCTCTTTGCACAAGTTATACACTATCTCTGTACTCTCAAAGACTAACCTGAAACAGTTCATCGATGTCCCTCTGTGCATGATGCGTGTCCCGAGCAGCGCCTCGCTCAGCCAACTCCTCGGGCACTCGGAACCGTCGCAGCAGCGCCGCAAACTTCTGCTTCAAGTTGCGTTGCTGCAACACACATTGTATATAAGACATATGCACAGAATATTGAGTAACTAAATCCAATAGATCCGCTTCTCTATCACGTGGCAATTGTGATCCAAAAACAGAAAAATTCAAATAATACACCACTTTGATACAGTAATTGTTTATCTTAGGACTGTAATTTATTTAAATATTTGTTGCTTCAGTCTTTTTATTTACCTAAACGGTGCTGCGGCACTGTTCTCTCTGAGATCTATGATAAGCAGATAACATATGTAAATAGATAACTAGCTATTGTGCAATAATTAAAACACTTCTTTTTGAAAATACTGTCATCTTTGCGGTAATGCACTTCGGGGCTCTTAAATTCTCATATCCCAGATTCGGCGGATTTTAACACAGTCTAAATCGATTCAGACTTGGTTGTTTTGGGTGCCCTCTAGTAATTATAGAACAGGAAATGTCTTCTCTTTAACACTTGATAATTTAAATAACGTGTGATGTAACACGTACATTAATCGATTTTAATTAAAAACAAAACTTTCCACCAAATTGTACTGAAAAAAACAATTACCTCCATCGAGTGCGCGTCACAACTGACATGTAAATTTCAACATGCCTAGTGCCTCTACCATGAGTGTACAATAACAGTGACTAACGACCGCGTAATATTGTATACAAAACGTTACTTCCTCTTGTGTGCTAGAGACGGTCGCTGTAGAATTTATCATGTCATAACATATTTTTACTACCATGATATTTATACGTATTTTGTGGAAATACTCCACTAGTTTGTTACTATTAGTGACACAAAGATTGAACAACACAAAAGAAAAATTCCTTCTATCTGACTACACAGGGAGCACAGAGCTGCAACCGCTCTTACCAAGTTGCAGATCGAGTCACCTCAGCGGCAATTGACGCTGGTTCGAGTACAATCAACCAAATGTATTAATAACAATATTGGAAGTTATTGATGTTACATTACGCACACTTATAACCTATATGTATGTAAACTGCCAGGATTATATATACCTACAATATTACATAAGTATTTATGTAGTTATTTTACTTCATTTCGCGACGCACACGTCCATCACTCACTCGCTACGGTCCATTGAAAACCCGCGTCACAGCCCATTATCGGCTGTGGCGTTAGCTGAATGAGATCCTTTTGCATACGCCACAGCCTGTTGTTTTTGTGTTATTATTTTTTGCTTTTATTTATATTACTTTTTTGTGTTTCTTTTTTATAATGTGGCGTTGCAATAAATGGTTTCTATTTCTATTTCAATCAGAGCGAATTAATTTTTCTTTGTGTTATTCTATCTTTGTAACAATAATAACGGTCAAATATTTAGGTACAACTGTCACTAGAAGCTAATGATAGAGACACAATACCTCTACCATAAACCATAAGTTACAGTGACCGTTGTCGCTTATGAACACGCATAATGGTTGTAAACAAAACAGTGCTTCGTCTTGTGGCAGCTAGAGGCGCTGAACAATTTGCCATACAAATGTGTCAAAATTTGACGCGGGCGCTAGCGGCAAATGTCGCTATAAACTCATGGTAGAGGAACTCTATCTAATCTACGTAATGAGATAAGCTACTGTCTAAAAAAAGACCACTGGGTACATGCTTGGTACAAGCTACGACATGAGACTTAAACTACATTGACATTTTGATTGTGTAGTTCTCGAGGGGGTGAATTTTGAATGTCAAGAAATAAACATTCAAAGTTATAACTAGAACAAGGTAAGGACCCATGATGAAAATTCACTATAGCCAAATACTGTCACAACGTGGAAAAAAAAACTAAATGTCCATCTGAGTTTAAAGATTTAAACAAGTAGGAAGACGGATTGACTAAAACTTCTTTTTATTCTCTTATTTTTATTCTTTTTTATTTTTATTTTTTCTATTTTAATTTATGTTTATTTTTTATTTAAGTTTAATATTAATAATGCAAACAACCTTATTTTGCACTATAGTTACAAAAGTTATTGATTAAACAACTTATTTTTAATTTTCTAAAGAACATTCCAATTTTAACCTACATACGTTTTACAAATTATTTTGTTATATTTTAACAATATGAATTTTTATTAAATTCTTTTTCTAGTCAAACACATTTTTATATTTTTCTTCTAGTTAAAGATAGAAAATTAAACGAAAAACATTTTTTCCACTTCTATATTAAGAATAGTTAGAATAATTACAGCATTTCCTTTATTTGATGCTATTTAAATTAATGGTAGTAACTGTGATTTAAAAAAATCGTTTTTTTCCCATTTGTTATTGCTTTTATATTCAGTCATCTATGTTTAAACTGTATTTCTATATTATTGATGAAAACTGGAGATCTAACACGAATTACGACACTACGTGACTCCGTCCGCAACGAGGCTCATACGTACTACCAATGTCAGTTTTACGTTGAAAGTAAGTTTAGATGTTTTACGTTTCGGAATAAGGTATCCACAAATACGTTGCTTCATGTTTCGTGGTAGACCTCCGGAACAGTTAAACCATCGTTTAGAATTAAGGGCAGCATATTTTTTTTAGAATTATAATAACAACAATGACATACTTATTCTTATACGTAGGTGTTTTTGTGTAAATGGAAGTGAGGTATTCTCCAGCAATGGCACAGTCAGCTGGGGTTATGAATTCAGGTTCAAGAACCGGTGACTGACGCGTCCCCAATCGAGCATCGTGTATTATTATTAACATATCTAGATACTACAACTTAATTTACATACACAACAAATCTACTCATCTACATTCTAAACACTAAACACCCAACTGAAATCTGCTAGTAGCGCGGCGAAGCAATCTAACCCAAATACTTTGTTCGAAAACAACTCAACACATAAACAACCTACTAAAGTGAGAATAGAGATGTTCATTTACACAGTATCAGAAAAAAAATAAGTATTCAGGCAGTTTTTGACGTAGAAGGGTAACGATTATCAGGGTAAAAATTGTTGGGGAAAGTGACACCTTTTTTACACCTACAAATGTGTAAAGCAGATAGTCAGTGTTAATTGGTCAATCCATTCAAGACAAAGACCATGCAAGAGAGAAACAATATAAATAATTACTTACGCGATATTTCAATTTAGTGTTCGTATTGTTACAAGGATCACAATGAATGTAGTAAAAACATCTTTGTTTCGATTTTGCTTTCTCATAATTACAGCTAGACCTTTTAGCCCGTTCATGGAGAATAACACCGTTTACCGAAAAATTAAATATTAAAATATGATAGTACGGGGCAATGTTGTAGGTGATGCAGGATTTTTACACATCAGCGGATGTTGATTTTTTGGCCTTAACATCATTGGATGCTGAAGCGAATTTTATTTCATATATTTAAAAAAAAAAACATCCTTACTGAATCTATCTACATGAAAAAGATTTCTATTTTCTTTGGTATTGTAATAAAATATTATTTCTATGATTTTGTTTATTAACAAAATAATTAATCTGTATGAAAACAATTAATCTGCCTAGCTTAATCGTTCTGGAATTTTATCAAACCTATATTTTAAAAACAACAGCTAAGCTGATTTCTCGGCTTCGCAACATGGACCTTAAAAAACCAACTACGGGCTTTACAGTGCGCTGTATATGATACAAGTATTTTCATACTTGAAAAGTCTTAATCTTGTAATGTAACTTTGTTTATATTTCAGACGAAATAAAATCTTTTTTATACAAGTCCAAGTGCTTTCTGTGCAGTTGCCGCCTACTGCTTTTCCATAGACAATTATCAACAACGTACTGGCACAAACTTCAATGATTTATTTATTTATTCATAAATAAATAAAAACCAACCATGGAAAACCAACAGCTCATAAGCAGATCAGAACATAAACTTAAATCCAACTACAGGTTTCCACCTATAGCTTCAGACAAACATACACGAGCATTAAACAAACGAACAATAAACAGTATTTCTTAACAACGTGCACTTACGTAAATATAACAACCCAATACGCAGCTAATCACAAATTATTTAATAAAGTTAAGTAAATAGAATGTCCGTGAGTTTACGCTTTAGCGCATCAACATTACTATTGAATATATCAACTTCCAGGTCATGATTGCTCTGCACACTATCCAAGCTCTTGCTAGCTCTACGTAGAAATCTATTTTGTCTATAGTTAGTTCTCGCTAAGGGAACTGCAATAGGGTGATAGTGCCTCATAGAACGAGTAGGTACAATTAACTAAATATCACCCAATAAGTCAAAGCAGTCAACATTATCATTAATAATGTTTAGAATATACGCAATACCAAAGATTTTTCGTCGAATATTTAGAGGCAATAGATTCAGATCCTTACAGAGACGTGGGTAGTCGCATGAATTATCAGACTTACTCGTTTTGTAGCATAAGAACTTAATAAATTTATTTTGGACTTTACATATGAATATTTTATACTGGACCAATATAAGCTCTACCTATGGTAAAAGAAGTACTGACATTTTTGTGAGCTATTTAAGCACTGCCCATGAAAGGGTTAAAAGGTGGGGGGATAGGAGCTTTGTTTGAGTGGTTTAACCATCTGCGGGGTTACTCCCGTTCTCGGTCCCACATCTGTCCGAAACAATTACTGTCAAATAAGTAAAACTCGACGACCAAATCAATAGACTTAATCAAGTTTGAAGCTTCATTTGCATCATGCGTCTTTTAATTGGTCGAGTATTACCTATTTAACAGTAATTGTTTCGGATGACGGAAGGAGAACAAGATTAGACACCCTGACACATTCTAATCCTTGACACAATCAATGACGATTCGATAGAAAAAGAAACCTTAAGGGTGCGTACAAATGCGCCTGTTTGTGAAAGTCTCGTGATCTGCGCACGTGCATTACGTAGTGCTATTTGTTCGCGTGCCGTTCACGCGCAACGTATAGTGATATGTATTTAACTGTATGCATGCAATACGAGTGCAGCGCATATGCAGCGCGTTCGCGGCGCATTCGCCAGATCTGTACGCACCCTAATAATTATCTAACAATCAAAAAATCCTGTTGACACAAATGTCATAAACAAGTGCTATAAAAATGTCCATGCAAGAGTAAGTCTTGAGTCTCTCTATTCTCACACGCGGCTCACCGCGAGTTTGCCGCGGCTGCCCTTGCGTTTGGCGGCGGCGGCTTCGAGCTCACTATCGCTGTCCCGCTCGTGCACCTTGGCGCGCATATAGCTCTGTCTGTTGCGCTCTCTCTCGCGTTCGCGCTCCACGTAACTTAAGTCGCGTGAGCGCGATAGCTGCGTGCAAGTCAATTATTGGAAGCTAGTTTTAAGCGGCTGAGAGCTGATTTCTTATAGGGTTTCGCTTAAAAAAATAACCTAGAAAAACATTAAGTGACATTGTAACTTATAGAAAGATCATGGCCCACCAAAGTATAAGAACCATACCCACGGCGTACAAAAATGATATATGGCTAGATTTATAGAAAAATATGTGTACTTTACAATGGTATGTGACGCTTTATTGCTAGTACTGGGAATCGTGGAGTAAAAAAAATGTATGTTAGTGCAAAATCTTTATGTTATGTATTAATTTTGATTACCCAGAGCTCCGCTAACTAAAAAGCGGCGAAGTGACAAAATATTTTTTTAAGATATCATAAAAAATCAACCCAGTTTTAGAATATTGAAATTGTTTAATGATATTTCTGTTTACGTTTTGTTTAAGTTCGTATAAGTCGGACACGTTAACTAATTGTATCTGTTTTTAAAAGATAATTTTATGCTCTATCTTATGCTATTTAAAACGTATATTTGACCATTAGTCACTTAGCCACATTTTAGTTAGTGGACGGCAGTACAACTGACCGCGCAGGATTCGCGCAAGAGTGTGACTGATGATATTTATTTGCACAGAAAGTCTGACAATAACCTAATTAGTGTTCTAAATCTTTACTGTCCTCTTACATTATTAGTCCGATAGATTTTACATAAAATAAAAAGTGGTTCATAACTGCATAATTTCAAA